CCTTCAGACCTGATGTCTGGGACCAGGTCTAAAAAACACCGCCAATGCCTGCAACTGCTCAGAAAACCCCAGATCCCCTTGGTGCGCATGAAGAGACATCACAGGCTCTTCACAGTGAGAGACAAATTCCTATCCATTGATAAACTCTCCAGATGTCCTCTCCGAGGAGGAAGGGAACCAATTTTTATTTGAAATCCCTAAAGAAATCCTGGAAGTGGAAAAATGATACTTTGCAGGACTGGTTATACCGAGGTCACTGACATTAAACGTGGGTCTTTTTTTTTGGTCTTGGTTGTACTTTGATCTACATAATAAACATAAAAACTCAGTTGGGGTCATTCTAATCCTTAATCCATATGTCCTGTTCTATTTCAATTTGTTTATACTAATTTTCCCTAAATTCTTTTTGAATATGCCTTTAATGTTCAGTTAAAAAAATGCAAGCCATTTTGAATTGAGACGAAAAGAACTATACATTTTGCTATTAGGCACACCCATAAACATTCTGAATAAATACCCTGGGGTTTGATTCTTCCTACCCACAAGCCCATAAATCTGAAATGTATTGCTATTCAGGGGACAAAATGTTGGCTTAGGTGCTAGACAACAGCTACTGTAGACATCCAAGTTGTGGTGTGTGAGCACGTGCATGTGTGTGTGTGTGTGTGTGTGTGTGTGTGTCCATGTGCATGTGCCTTTAGAAAGTGAAAGGACATACTCTCCCTCTTGTTAGTCTTACTTCATTTTCTTATATGTTATTCTCACACATGATTTGATACTATTTTTATTCATTTTGTTTATTGATGCAATGACTTTCCCACTTGGTCCTATATCATACCTAATGCTCATTAGTGACAAATGCTGTCTATCTCACCCATGATAGCTGTGCTCAAAAATTCAGGGAGATTGTATAAACTTTGGAATCTGAATGGTGTACTCAAAACTCATTGCATTTGAGTAGATTCATAGTGATCCCCCGGAAGAGAGTAGACCTGCTTCTTGGGTTTCTGAGAGACTGTAACCCTGTAGGGGAGGAGAAAGCCATAGTTTTTCTCCCAGAATTGTGGGCAAGTATCTTATTCCTCAAACCTCTTAAGAAAAACAAAACATAAAATAAAGAAACTTTAAATTTTGAAATAAACTCTATTTTTAAAATTCTGAGTAACAAAGAATTATAGAAAATATTTTTTATTCTTAAAAGTATCTAATTTATAAAATGCTCTATGACATTTTGAACTTGTCTCGATTTTCTAAAGAAAATAGTTGATAAATTAACTGCTTGCTTCCTTTTTCTTTCTTACTTTATTTTTTTAAGATAACCCCACAGTTCGTAAAACTATACAATAGTGTATATACAATATGTACATTCTGAAATTTCATACCATTATTTTATAATCCATAACCTTGAGATAGAGGGGAGCTAAATGGTCTAGTGGAAAGAAGTTTGAAAAATAACCCCCACTCTCAAATCCTCCACCCTCATCTGGCCCTCACATCGCAGATGACCATGGTAAGGAGAACATTAATGATTGGTCTTTATCTTTCACAGATGATGAAAATAGAGGCAGGAAAAATTATATTACATTTTTATCTTTTTCATAAAGTAAATTGAACATATCACCATCCAAAGCTATGAAAATGCCAATATACATTTTTTTCTTAGATGCTCCTAAAAGCAACATGCAATTCTAGGCCATAGTACAAAGTTCGCAGTAATGAACCAACCTTCAGCTCACATTGAACTGTGGCTGGAGTATGTCACCAAGGGAACTGAAGAGACCTCAGCACTAGTAACACGATTCTCAATACAATGGGTTGAGAGCTGTCACATGTATGACATCCTCATTCAGAAATGAGCTTTTCCCATGTGTCTCCGAAGATAAGCAATGGCTGCTGCACATTCAGAAAGCACGAGGCAATCCGGTAGTTTGTTCTGCTCTAGCGCCAGGCCGGTTCTAGCAGTCTTGTTCATGAGAGCTTATAGTCACATTGGTTTCTAAAATGTATTTCAGTATTTTTCCTTTTTTGTGTGTGCCTATGACAATTCTGAATCTTACATTTAAGTTCTTGAAATCATGGACGTCATTTAGGCAATTCAGTCAATTTAAGTTTATATGGAAACAAGAGGTTCTGAGTTTAAAAGCACCTAATGGTAATGGATTTTTAAATTCTGAAAAGTTCCAAAAGTCAGTGCAGATTAAATCATATCACAAAACATGTAAGATTATGAATGACGGCTCACAAGAAGTAAATATAGCAATAATGACTGCATAACCCCACTCAAGGGGAACGAACAACAGAATTGCCGGTGAATAGTGTAAGACACATAAAATAAATAATAATAATATATAATATAATAATAAGGGTTCCTGGAGGTAAGGTGGGAGAGGGAGGAGAAAAGGGGGAGCTGATATCAAAGAGTTAAAGAAGAAAGAAAATGTTCTGAAACTGTGGCAGCAATTGTAAAATTATGCTTAATGTAGCTGAATTATAGATTGCTATAATATCTGTAAGAGCTCCCCATAAAATGATTAGTAAAACATATAAATAAGTAGCAAAAAAAGTAAGTAAAGATACAAAAGCATCTTACTAGCCATTAAAAAAATTGATAATGATAGCAGATGCAGGCTTCAGGCCAGACCTTGACTCCAGTATCTAACCACTTAACTACTATCATTCCTAACTTTCAAATATCATAGGTCAAAAACAGCTTAAGAGAAAATCAAGAACGTTCAGTATGAGGAAAGTTTCACCTAGATAGTATGTCAGTAAAAAGGGTGGGTTGTGGTATAAGCAATTTGTAACTTAATTTCTGGGTAGCACAGTTTATGCTTCACTCATTCAAACCCTGCCATTGACTCTATACCAAATCAGTAAGACAGGGTAGAACTTCCCCTGTGAGATTCTGATCTTTGGTGATTTGAACCCACTGTGGAATAAAGACCTGATGATTTGCCTGCATAAAAATTATAGTTAAGAAACCTGAGGAAGCAGTTCTACCCTGTATCACAATGGGTCACCATAAATCAAACATGACTTCAAGACAATGGGTTAGCTTTTGATTTGGCTAATCCCAACTCTGCCTCTTTTGGCTGAAGGATTTTCATTGCAATGTAAGCTCTTTTAGTTTTTTCCATTCACTTCTATTAAAGGGGTGAGTCAGTGTTTACCTAATGTTGTGAGGTTAAGTCGTTTTTGAGTGTCTTCGGATACACAGCTACATGAGCACATGTATGCAAAGCAGAATGACACATTATATGGGTTTCAAGGATTTTCTAAAGAGATCTCCAGACCTTTCTTCCAAGTGACTTCTCGGTGGGTTATTATTGCCAACATTTTGGTTAGTAAGGTACCACACTTAATTGTGCTCCCTCCCTTCCACTGGGACTAATGTCTATGGAGATTAAGGCCCTTAATATCTGTGAAATATATTTAGCCTGTTTTATGGTCCATTTTAAATGCTTATAAATGTTCAGTACAATCATTATTTGTATTATCATTATTTATCTGAAAACAAGAATGGATGCATTTTATGCATAACCTTGAGATAAATGAAAATAGAGAACCATAAAAGAGCCATTTGTTGACGGGTCCCAGTTCTATCAGCCAACAGGCAATTGAAAAGCTAAATAAAAGACTCACTGCCAATGCTTTGATTCCAACTCATGGTGACCCTATGGGACACAATTGAACTGACCTCATGGGTTTCTGAGACTGTAAATCTTTACAGAAGTAGAAAGCCTCATATTTATCCCAAGAAGCAGCGGTTTTTGAACAATTTCATTTTGAAAAGCTGAGAATATATATCCCCCAAACTGCTCCTTTACACTCTTCACAGACTCAAAAGCAGCTTCAGCTTAATTTACATTCTATCTGTTCTTTTAAAGGGACAGATTCTGTTAACTACTAGGTTTTCAAACAATCCAGACAGTCTCTCTTTTTAATGCTGGTCAATATAGAAGAATGTTTATACAGTACACTAGCTCTAAGGGAGCCCTGGTTGTACAATGAGTTACATGTGGAGCTGATAACTACTGGTCAGTGGCTTGGACCTATCATATGCGCTGGGGCAAAAAAACAACAGTCTTCTTCACTAAAGATTTACAGCCTTGGAAACCCTGTGGGGCAGTCCTACTCTGTCCTATCTGGATTCTGTATGTCAGAATCAACTTGATAGGAGTGAGTTTGATTTGGGGTTTTACCGACATCTATCTCTCTAGGTGTCTATGTAGGTGTGTATGTCTGTCTGTATGCATGTATCAAAGCCACAGCTCAGGATCAGGCAGTGTTCCATTCTGTTGAACATGGGGTTGTTATGCATTAGAGTCCGCTTGATGACACCTAATGCTATGACAATGACAGCATCCCTTTTGTTATATTATCTTTGTAAATGATATTTTGACATTATTTTAATCTGTGCTGGTATTATATCCTGCTATATAGTATAATGTATAATAGATATTATAATAATCCAGACTATATATTATAATCTTATGACATACTACATATAATAATATAATCTAAATTATAATATATCATCTAAATTATAAGATATAGTCTAGGTTGTTGAAAACAACTTTCAGACAACAACCTGCTCAAGGTTTACAAGAGATCATGCACTCGGAGAATTCAATTTTGGGAAATGAACTCTTCACCAAAGCTCACAACAAAGTATCAATGTGTCACGTCTGCTCTAAGTGTATTCTAAATCACCCCCATCTTTGGGAATGGTTATATAAATTAAATCATGGTAATGTCTTTCCCTGGCAAAGTTTCAATGATTTCACAAGCAGGTGTGAATGGAGAAGTGGAGCCCTTACACAACCTGATTACACAGTCTTCCTGCAAGCTGGCAGCTTGAACAGTTCAAGCTTCGTGGCTTTCAACAGGAACACCACATGCAGCCTGGAAGTCCCTGCTGATGCTGGTGTCAAATTTTGACACACAGAACCTCTATTGACTCCTGATCTCTGTCCTGCTGGCATTCTTTTTCCTTGCAGGCCATCAAACCTTCTTCTGGACCAAAGCAATGTGGACATCACTACCTTCCGGACTACAGGTGACTGGCTTAACGGTGTCAGGACAGCTCAGTGCAAAGACATCTTCACAGGCGTGGAGTACAGTTCTTGTGACACCATAGCCAAGATTTCCACAGAGTAAGAAAATGTGTTTGTTTGTTTAATGTTTCTAAATCTTCTAGTAAATATATGCACCTCTATTAATGTGTTGCAAACTTTTACATTACAAGCCCGAGGTATTGATTGTCTCTTCTGGCCACCAAACTTGACTCTGGGTTTCTTTATGAAATACTCTTTTTGTATCTTGATGTATATTCCTTCCTCATTGACTCTATGTCCTTCTTCAGACAGACCAGTAGATAACTACGTCCACAGATCCAAGACACTAATATAAAACAGTACTAGAAATAGAAAACTAAAGATGATTGGCTGGCATGTTCTCTATTCACCAGGAACTCCAACTCTGACTTAGAAAGTGAAGAGAAGCCAGGGTCCTCATCTCCTGTGGATGAGAGTCGCTCCACATCACTTTGTCATGTGACTACGTCACTTTTGATTTTCTCTATATTCTCATAGACAGAGCTAAAGCTGGCATCTTCAGTGCACAGCTATATGGCCTCGTAGCACCATTAAAGTGACTGGAGTCTAACTCTTAATTCTAAACTTCCAAGAGGATAATTCTGATGTGTCAGACCCATTCATAGTCAGCACCTCCACAGTATATATGTGTTTGTCATTGTCTGAAAAGGATTGACCTTAACAATATGATATTGATTTGCATGTCATTTCCTTGAAGGTAAGACCAAGGACTTCCCAGATAAAAAAACTTTGTGCTCAGAAGATACAGAAATAAATTCCACAGATTATTGTAATTCATCAGTTTGGAAACCGTGTCTGCCTTTGTGTTGGGGTCCTTCCATCTCTGATCTTTCTTACTTTAAGTAAACTCTTTAGTTCCCCGCCAAACTCTGCCCTCTCCAAATTAACATGTGCCTACTTAAATGTTAATCTAGGCATTGTTATCACTCATTTCAAGAAACACACCATTAGAAAAACACCAGATAAGATGTCAAAAAGGCATAAAGGGTGTATCAAAATTAATAGGAATTGAAATGCCTCATAAAGGATAATTAAGTTTAATTTATGGAATAACAGTATAATAACAATCCCATTTAGCTAGAAAAGGGACCTACACAACAGGTTTATTACTATTGGGGAGGAGAATCTGTTCTTAAAAACCAAACGTCCTAGTTTTTAACATATGTTGCCATTCTTGTTTGAAGTAGAATGTAATGTTTATTGAGTAGACTTCTGACCCAATAGTCAATTGGTTTTGAGATTCGGTAGTAGTTTTTCCGATATGTTCCAATAATATACCGAGGTGTTTAAATATTTTTTCTAAATTCTGATTCTAGTAATATAAACTGGCAGGGCTATGATATACAAGACACCTGCTTTAAAGCACAGCAGGAGAGCAAAGGGAAAATATTACACTGATCATTTTCATACCATAATTGGATTTACAAAGTTAAAGTTATGCCAAATAGTATTTGCAATAAATATCTACACTTAAGTTTTTGGATAATGAAACACTATATTGAATTGGATGAGGCAAAACACTCTTAATAAGATTAGCTGTTAATTCACAATTTAAATATAGTCATAAGCGCATGAATACAGTAAGAATTTGATTTGCTAAAAAATGTGCCTTGACAGCATCTGTCATACTGACAAGTTAGCAATAAATTTGTCTCAACAAGTCAGTGTTGAATGATAATTTTTGAGGCTGGTTAGAATATGTTCATTTAATTACTGTTGCTATTTAAGCCATCTGTCGCTATATGACAAGATGGAAATGCGGCCCTTTTAAGTCGGTCTTTAGCACTGGAAATGGTATCCTATTATCTCCGTATTTTCATCTCCCCACATCTTTGGTTTCTTCTGTCCTTCCTATTCAATCCAGGAACAACATCATATCTACATTTGTTGATTTAAATTTACTTGGAAAATATTTTTTATTTGTGATCTTTGCAGTGCTACTCTGCATCTGGCTCATAATTTATATTAAAAATGATCATTTATTTTAAATATTTACTATGTTAATAATGTTGGTAACTATAATGGCACTGAGTTTGATTTTACTCAAAGAATAAAGAAAATAAATATGAAACACAGACCATGTGTGGGGTTGTGAAAAACACCTGGAGAAATGTGAGGCAAACAGGGGACTAGGAAGTGCAGGTATGAGTATGGGGATGTTTTGCAATATTAAAATGCAGAGTCAGGAAAGGTTTACAGAGAAGGGGATATTTGAGTAAAAACCTAACATTTGAAAGTATGGCTTAATTACTTGATACAAAAATCGTCAATTAACTGTTTGTGCATGCTTCTCTAAATCATTTTCCCTAAATAAAGGGCCTTTTGGATCACTCTTTTAATAGCTGGCTTCTGAGTTTGGACAACTTGTAATTTAACAAACCAAGTAGATATATATAATTCTCATTTTTAAAATTCCTTTGAGATAAAGAATAGTCAACTCTACATGTTAAAGTGATTGTTCTAATCATTTATGGCTGTGTAAACTTCCCCAAAACATAGACGCTAAAGCAACAATTTATAGTCATCCCAAAGTTGGAAGTTATAAATTTGAGCAGAATACAGGTGGGTTGATCCTTTTGGTCCTGTTGTTGACACAGATGGAATGGAAGCTTCGAGACAACTTTCATTATCATATGACTTGGTGCCACATATAACACCCCCCCAAAATAAACACCCCAAACTCATGACTGTCAAGTCAATGCTGACTCCTAATGAGCCTCTGGGACAAAGTAGAACTGCCCTGTGAGTTTCTGAGACTTTAACGCTATACAGGAGTAAAGAGCCCATCATTACCCGTGGAGTCGCCACTGGTTTCACACTGCTGCCCTTAGCAGCAGCCCAACACACAAGCCCACCGTATGACCAGGGCGGAGCTGGATTATTCAGGGTGCAACTCAAAAGTCAGAAAAAAGACTCAAAGTACTGGGTTTATGGTTGTGTGCTTCTCAATAGTTGAAAGTGCTACTTATGTAATCTCTAATTTGCTGTCATTCTCACCAGAAATTTTTCTCCTTTCGTACAGTGACATGAAAAAGGTTGGTGTAACTGTGGTTGGGCCACAAAAGAAGATCATCAGCTCCATGAAAGCTCTAGAAACCCAATCCAAGAACGGTCCAGTCCCGGTGTGACGTACTCCAGTCCCGGTGTGACGTACTCCTCTGAAAGGGAATGATGGCGGTGGAAGACGAAGCGTCACAAATGATAATGCTGGTGATCTTGGGAAAAGTTCCAAACCCAATAAAATACTCACATACGAGTGCACATGCCTTAAAATGAAATAGATTAGCTCTTTATTTTCCCCTATCATGTAGTGGACGGGTGGGTAGGAGTATATTCTTTTATATTTGCTTTCTTATGCTAAAGAATGGATTGAATTAAAATTTTTCAATGAAAATGGTGATGAACTGCATAGAGCCATTGATCACAAACTATCATAAAAGTTACACAAGTGAAAGAACAAAAGGTGGCTTTGTTTTGTAATAGTCACAAAAGAAAAGACTTGAAATATTTTTATACACAGAAGCCGCCCACAACAGGTGCTTTGTTTCCTTACAAACAAGCAGCAGAGAGGAATTTATACCTCAAACTATCTGGCCATATTTACTACCTGATCATTGTATTACTCTCTTCTATCTGTTAAAAGTATATAGAGATCAAGTTTGTAGTTGTTTTAAGTACTACATGTTTCAAAATTGTTAGCTTCCTTAAGTATTATCGTGTAAAAATGTCTTAATTTTTGAAAACAAATACATATTTATTTTCTTCCGAATTGTGTTTATTGTTTTATATTTATGCCTTGATGATTTAGTTTGGATTTGTTACAACCAAGTGCCAAAGGCTCTCTCAAATTGTCAACAATAGGAAACATGGTTAGCTAAATAAGAGAATGATTAATTTCTTTCATAGTATTTACAATCATCTACTTCTCTGTGTCTACAGAAGAAAATGAAACTCTTTGCCTATTTCTAAATTAACCAAATTTCTCAGATTCAGAATTCTTTCATCCATATTTGTCTCTTCATTTATTATATAACAGTATTCCCCCAAATTAGTGTAATATACCGGTTTGTAAACAAAGGGTTCTCAACCCGATGACCGACCTAGGCTCAGCGAACCATCAGCTCCCTCCATTTGTGAAGGGCCCACGTTAGACTTTCAGATGAGAGAACAGCTACTGGAGCGCACTGGAACCCGAGTTGGACTGCTGGCTTCAGGAGCAGCATAGCCTACAGGTCAATGCATGAGCCAAAATATCACTAGCTGCGTAGCTTTGATAAGATACCATATGTTTGCGTAAATATGCTAAGATGTTTATAGTACACAAAGACACTGAATATTTACATGCAGCACTGGGGTTTAGGGTCAACCAAGGAAACATTGTGGACATCAATATCAGGTATTATTATCTCTAAGAGTCTTCCATTGTGCTACACTTCTTATCATTTTGCTGTATTATTTACCCTTATGAGCATTGGACTTCCTTGCATTTTTGAGCATATCAATTTTAAAAATAGCTGGTCATTTAGAAAATGACTAAAAATCTGTGGACAGTGGAGAGAGCATTCATTCAAGGACATTTGACTTACTGTTTCATAAAAGCTAATTATGGGCATGCTAAGCAATATTTGAAAAGATGTACCTGGTGGAGAAATAACTACTAATATATTCTGAAGCAACATTTTAACTCTATCTAGCCTTTTTAAATGCTGATATAATGTTCATTTTAGGAGTATAGGAAATGCATATGATGCAAGATTAAAATGGATAAACCATTTTTGCAACCTTTATGCTCTTACCAAAGGGGAAACACTAAGTAAAAACTTCCCACAATCACAGTTTGGAATTTATAATTGCTAATCTGTTGTGAATTTAATGTAATAAAATGGGAACCATACTCAATCAGATATGAGATTATTTCACAAATTCTGAAAAATTGTCTTAGACTCAAATCAACCACCTTGTATTCTCTATGTGATATACAAGAGCATAAATTTCTTTAAGCGACATAGGATTATAAAATTAACTACAGATGGTACTTAAGCCTACTAGGAGTGGATAAAAGGTTTTTGTTTTATTTTTGAATAAACATTTTGTATTCTGGAATGTTAGGTTGAGACCCGAATCTGGCTTGAATCTCATTTTCTCCCAGACCAGTGTTCACTGTTTTTAGATACTAGTCTAAGCATGCTCAGCAAAATCTATACATTTCAAAAAATCAGTCAAGTTAAGGATTGATTGAATTGATTTCATTTATTTTGTCTGTTTTTCTTTGAAAAGAAGTAGAGGTTGTATACACAATATATTACTATTCATTGTTCAATACTTTTGTATGGACCCCTTACAAATTTACTTTACAATTTTTTACCCTGTACATATGTAAACTTAACAATGTATGATTCTTAACTGTGGAGTAGATGTACTAGAACCTTGTGGCCATCTCTTTATATGGGAATTGCATTGACTTCCAATAAACATAAAAATCACATGTCCTTCAGGATAATTTGGACCATATTATCTGTTTTATATCTCAAATTTAATATACGTATATTATTTATTGCTGTTAACTTGCCCAGTTTATGCAGTATTAAGCATCAATTAAGCCATGTATAAATGTTATCTCATTACCAGTATGTATTTACTTTAGACTTGTATTTTCAAAACATTATTCATTAAGTTTATGTTGTGCAATTGTAGATGGCCTCTTACTAATGTAAAATGATTTGTAGTGGAAACATTTATATTTTTATAATAAACATAATGAAAATATTTTTTACAGATTGGAATACAGAAGTGGTCTTTGAAGCTTTTTAAAGATATTCTGTAAATATACATTTATTTAAGTAGCACAATAATGAATGTGCTGTTTTCTCCCTCCAGTAATGAGAAAGGATTTATGTTCTGTAATTCACATTATTCCACAATCTAAATTTCATTATCAATGAGTTAAAACAATAGTAAATATTTTCTTTATTCCTAGTGTGCATTGAATTATTATCTTATTTATAAAGAACAACAATAAAGAACCCACCCAATGAATTAGCTTAAGAAAAATCTGTTTATCCTAAAAGACTGTAAAGTCTAGAGATGGGCCCTTGGAGATGAGCGATCAACCAGAAGTGCTGTCAGCTGGCCCTCCCCTCCAGCTTCTGCAATTCTTCCTACGTTTTCCTAGTTGGGTTGATGTGCAACTTCTCTCTTCACAGAAAGGAAATATCACTTTAGTTAATATAATCCTGCATTGTAATCCCTATGAAAAAAATGATCTCTTCATTTTCTAACAGAGACGTGGGCCCTTAATTGGGCCACAAACTGGTGGTGTATCACTTTATTTATGTATTTATTCATTCATTCATTTATACACTGTGCAACCCGCTTCAGTGCCAGAAGCCTAGGGGCTAGGAGGCAAGGCAGTGGTTAGGGCTATGGTTTGCTCTGGCATGGGACATGAGGAGAGAGGCCCATGGGGCTGGGCCTGCCATAAATCCAAACCCATGTGCATATCACTGTAAAAGAATGAATAACTTAATTGGGAAAACAGTGCTATGATTTCCAATACAGATGGTAGATGAGGCCACATGGACTTGAAGGACTACAGAGATTAAAGGTATAACAAACAGAAGTCAGAATAGTGCTCGTTACAAAAGAACGAAGGACTAAACAAGCCAAATTGGAAAAAAAAATGAAAGCAAACTCCAGCTACAGGTTATACACTAAGAAATAATTTACATTTTTGGCAAAGTAGAATGCCATTAGCTTGCAGCTTACTTAGTATAAATGACTACATGCCAAACAAACAAAAAGCTCAATAATAATACAAAATAAGGTAAATGGTAAAATGGCCATGCAGGTACAAATGGTTAACGGAACTCACAAAATAGGTCAAACTTGATATTGCCTTGATGTAGAATTTGATAATGTTGAGTGGAATAGAGGGTAGTTTATAATGAAGGCAGAAACTAAAAGGAAATAAAAATATCCATTCACTTAATAGTATAAGGACCCCTGGTCATACTGGGTCTTACACATCAGGTTGCTAAGCACAAGGTCAGTGGTCCAAAACTAGCAGCTGCTCTTCAGGAGAAAGATAAAGCCCATAAATATTTATAGTCTCCAGAAATCTGTATAGGGTTGCTAAGGGTCAACATCAACTCCAAGGTAGTGGGGTTTTGTGTTAGACATCAATATTATGATACCATTTTGTTATCACCTTTACAGTAAACCCTGTAAATAGATATTTTTTGCTTTTAATAGATGAGGTTAGGACTGTATAAGACACATTTCCCTAACCAACCCCATGCAATAAGCAGCATGGAAGGCTGGCCATATCTGACCTCCTCTGGCTTCCCCATTACCATGAGCCAGTGGTCACACATGCCTTCACCCTCTACAACTCGCAGATAATACTCATGATTAAGGGAGTTTATTAGGTTAGCTAATAGGTTACCACAAGCCAGAATCAGTAAACTGTAAGGATACAACCGTTGAGGCATGACAACACCTGTCCATGGCCCACAATCAAGTCTCTCTCTGGTTCTGAGTCTCTCAGCTATGTGGTAGGATTCAGACATTTGGTCCAAAGCAGTGGTTCTCAGCCTTCCTAATGCCGCGACCCTTTCATATAGTTCCTCATGATGTGTTGAACCCCAACCATAAAATTATTTTGGTTGCTACTTCTTAACTGCAATTTTGCTACTGTTATGAATTGGACAGCCCCTGTGAAAGGGTCATTTGACCCCCAAAGGGGTCACAACTCACAGGTTGAGAACCACTGGTCCAAAGCAATACTTCTTCTCAGGCAGCAACCAAGGTTCTCACTGGTTCTCAGCTTCACAACCTCATGGTCCCACGGCATCCATGAACCAGGAAGCTGGCTCTCCTCTTGCTCTGTCAGTCATGTAGTCTCGGGCCAGATGAGTCTCAGTCACCTGCAACAAGCTCTGGTACACCTGGTCTCAGTAGCTTCCACCAATTCAGACAGAGTTATTGGGTGTGCTTTTCCAGTGATGTTGGGATTTCTCTCTGTGTCTTACACACTGCGGAATGGCTTTGATGGAGGTGTGCTTTAGCCAACCATACCCCCAAGGAAAATGACTGATGTGTCTTACATCCCAACATCTAATAAAGTAGCCCTAAAGATGCCCCTAATTCAACAAATGGGTGACTTGGCTCATACGCTCTACTAAGGTAAGTACTTGATCCACTTTGATCCTGTAACACAGAACTCTCTCCAAAATGGGATCACAGCCACAGGCATAGTCCAGGGTTGTAGCACATCACATAAGAAATTGTGACTAAAAGGGCTATATTAATTAATGATGTCTCACCTGGTTAATAAATAAACATATTTTACTTGGGAATCTAGTTACTCTGTGTTCTTTACATGGTATTATCATTACCCTAGTGACCAAAATGTATATGGACAGTTACAATAGTAACCAGCAAAAATTAGTTCTGAAAAAATATATAGATTAAATAGACTCGATGTTGTTAGAAATATATTCTGGAGGTCTAGGTGGAAATAGATACACTTATCTTAGTATGTCATGAATGTGTGGAATAGAAGACCTACAGAGATACATACATAAGGGAGAATTAAAAGAATATAACAATTCAATATTAGGAGTTTTCAAAAGAAACAATCAAAATGAGCAAGAAATTATAGGTTCTAGGCATTTGTGCAAATAATCGCTCTATTAGAAGAAGTAGGTAATAAGGAGAAGTCAGGTTAATGTTAGAAAAATTTCAATAATTTAATGGCTATTGTAGAAACTTCTGACATCTGACATTTTAAAAATATGTATATATGCATATATAATGTGTGTATGTACACCCACACATGCACATAAAAAGAGGCTTTACAAGTTCTGGAAAATTTTGTTAAAGATCTTGGATTTTCCACAATTTTTATGTGAAGATATAATTATGTTTACTTGTGGGACTAGATATGTATACTTCTATCTTTGTTGATGTGGTTCTTAGGTGCCATTGAGGTGCTTCCCACTCTACACACAAGAGAACAAAATAATACTTAATCCTGAGTCGTCCTCGCAATTATTCCTATGCAATTCCTATTCCAACTATTCCTGTGGCAGACACTTGAGAGCCGTCCTCTAGTTCCCTTTCTCTCTACTTTTTCAGGCATGATGTATTTCTCCAGGCATTAGCCTCTCCTGGCAATATGTCCAAAGTATGTAAAACAAAGTCTCCCCATCCTTGCCTCTGCGAAGTACTCTGCCCTGACTTCCTCCAAGACAGATTTGTCTGTTCTTTTGGCAGTCCATGATACTTTAATGTTCTTTGCCAGCACCACACCTCAAACACATCAATTCTTCTTCCACCTTCCTTACCCAATGTCAAACTTTCACATGTATAAGATACAATTAAAAATACTTGGGTCATACACGTCTTCATCCTCAGAGGAACACTCTTGCTTTCCAGTACTGTTAAGAGGTCTTATGCAGCAGATTTACCCAATGTAATGTGTCTTTTGATTTCTTGAGTGGTGCTTCCAAGAGCAATGATAGTGGATCCAAGCAAGACAAAATCCTTGGCTACTTCAACCTTTTCTCTTTTTATCGTGATGCTACCTATTTGTCCACTTAAGAGGATCGTTACATTGAGTGGCATTCCATACTGAAACTCTGACCTTCATCAGTAAATGCTTTAAGTCCTCCTCACTTTCAGCTAGCAATATTGTGCCATCTGAAATAAGCCTTCGTCCAATCTTGATGCCTTACCTTACTCTTCTTCATATAATCCAGTTTCTCTGGTTTATCTTTGAGAGATTCTAAATCATGCTAGCTACCGCAACAACTGTATCTTCAGATATAATTAATTTTAAACAATACAAAATGACTTAAAATGTGATCCAATATATATATTTGACAGGATGTCTTACTATAGACATTTGAAGCCTACATTTTATTCTTCTTGTGTCTTGTAGAACTTAGACAACTCTTTCTTCTATCCATCCACCTATCAATGTAAATGTAACCAAATTTTTACAGATGCACCAATGACATTGTGATAAACAGAGAACTGTTGGAAGCTGTCAAGGATTTTGTCTTTTTGGATCCACAATCAATGTTTATGGAAGAAGCATTTGATAAATCAAACAATGTATTTTATTCCCTAAATAAGCTGCACAAGACCTCTTTAAAGTAATGAGGAGCAAGGATGTTATTTTGAGGATTTGGGTGCCCTTGACCCAAGCCATGGTATTTTGTTTCATATGTATGTTAAATATAGGAAATGAATAGGGAAGACCAAAGCAGAATTGATACATTTGAATTTTGGTGTTAGTGAAGGCTATGAGAAGTACCATGGACTGCCAAAAGAACAAATTAATCTATCTTGGAAGAAATGCAGTCAAAATTTTCCTAAGACTTTGTCTTAGGTATGGTGAACATGTTATCAAGAGAGACCAGTTCCTGGAAAAGGATATCATGCTTAGATAAATAGATGGTCAGAGAAAAAGAGGAAGATCCTTGACAAGATTTATTAGCACAGTGGCTGCAAAAGGAACTCAAATATGCCAATAATTGAGAGGATGGTACAGGGCCAGGCAGTGTTTAGAGTAGTGATTAGTAGGAATTTTTTTAACTGCACCTAAACACTCTTCTCTATTACATATTTGTTTATGTAAGAGGTAGACAATACTAAAAACGTTTATGAAATCATCAGCCCCTCTTTCTTATCTCTATTAATTTTCCTCTTTGTGCTCATTATTGATAGCCTACAGCTTCATCAAGGTTATCTACGGGAGCTATTGGGGTTTGCAACTCAGATTTCCCTTCAATATACATGTTATAATGACAACAGATTGATGACAACTTCAAGCTGCTGTGTTTTTTAGATCTTCAGAAGAGTTAATATCCAAGTCATGCTCTATCAAGTGGAAGTCAATAACGATACTGATGGTTGGGTTACTAGAGATAGGCCATTGCTTCCCAAACAGGAGACTTCATTGACAAGCAGTCTTCATTCTCGTACCTCTGTCATCCTGCTTGAAATTTTTACAGAAGAGCCCTTGTGCCATTGTGTGTTATCCATTGGGTTACTAACCACAGAGTCAGCACCTTAATACCACCAGTTACTCTATATGAGAAATATGAGGTTTTCAACTCTCATATAGAGTTATAGTCTGACAAACCCAAATGGGGCGTTCTATCCTGTCCTATAGGGTGAATATGAGTAGGAATCAAATTGATGTCAGTAAGACAGTGTCATCTGAGATTCTTCCTATACAACATTCTTACCTTTGATCTCCCTCGTATCAAAGGAATGTTCTCACTCTGTCACTACTGTCGAGTTGGTTATAACTCCTAGTGACCTATAGAGCAGAGCAGAGCTGCCATTGTGGGTTTTAAAGAGTCTGTGGCTCTTTACAGGAGTCAGAAATGTGTCTTTCTTCCATGGAGCAGCTGGTGGTTTTTAAAGGCTGACCCAGTGTTATGTGTTGAGCAGCCCAATGGCTAAACCCCACAGCCTGACCT